TCTCATTACTCCATGTGTCTAGTAGGTTTGATTCGGTCTGTATATCGGTTCTTGATTCAGATAGTTGATAGAAACCAAATCAAATTAAGTATCTACATTTTTAATTATTATTTAATTTAAGGCCAAATTATGGACCAACTGGTAAGTGTCTGGTTGTTACCTAGCAGGTACTTTCTATTCTCAAGTGCATAGAAAGTACCTGCTAGGTAACAACCAGACGTTTACCAGTTAGTCCATAATTTGGCTCTTAGAGAAATAATTGATTAAATACATTTAAAAATTTTATGATTCCTTCTCTTCCCCTTTTCTCTCGACTCTCACTCGAGAATCAACAGTACAAACAAAAGTGCAGCTGAAGAGCAAAATTTCCAAAAATCATTATTAGGAAAAACATGGAAAAATCGGTACTAAAAGACATCTAAGAATTTTGGAAAAAGCTTAAATGTTTTTGTCGTTGGTTATTAGGGAATTATAGAGGAGTAAAAAATGCCAGGCACTAATAGCGCTAGGCAATATTTTGACGTTTTTGAGACGCGCGCGTTGTGGCAGTACTGTTAATTTTTAGTGCCGCCACTAATAAAGTTTGTGCCTTCTACTATTTGTGGGAAATAAAAACAGGCCATAAATAGGCACAGTCACGTCCCTATGTCTCTTTTTCTTTAAGTTGACGTCCGTCAAGGCTTATTCGAATGTTGACCTCACTTTTTTTTATTAATTTACATTTATTGGTTTGTTCAGATTTAGTTCAGAATCAGTTCTGAACTGAACTGCGCTTGCGCATTGGTTTACATATGTTCGATATGAATAAATGCGTAAGCGCAGTTCAATTCAGAACTGATTTTAAACGAAGTCCGACCAAACCTATTTCTTCAATTTCCAGTGCCAGGTTAGTGGCTTCTTAGCGGTGTTTGGTGTTGTGTTTTTATAGTTTTTTTTTACCGATTTGCCTGTTCTGTTCATTGCATGTGTTGGATTTTTTTATTAGAATGGGCTCCTATGAAGGGAAAGACAGTTTAAAGTCACAAATACTTCGTTTCAATGACCACGGGGTTCCGCCTTTAATCATTCTCGTCCCTTGGTGCCTTGAAATGTGGTCTAGAGTCTAGAATGACGTATCCCACATTGTCATCATCCCCATCCCCATCCCTGAATGATACGGCCTCCAATATCTTCCATTATAAAATATAGATGAAATAACAAAACAAATTCAACAAAAAACTACAAGAAGAACCACTAGAAGAACATCAAACACGTATTTACATTTTGCAATTTCAGGTTAGGAATATGAAAATAAAACATGACATGCCACTGCCAAAGTTCACTACTGCCGACTTCAGTGTCTCGTTCAATGATTCCTTTTGTGAGCCAAAATAGCGCCCGCCACAGTCAATTTTGGGTCGGCACTAAAGCGGCACAGTCAACTGCGGCCGTATTTCAATAATTCCCTATTGTTGAGCGCTCCTATAAGTTAGTTTGTCACTTTTTACCTGTGGTGTATGTATTTTATTTAATTCATTTGGCATTTTACTCCAAAATCATGCCTCTTTTCTGTTACTTTGTCTCCACTATACGAACCTGACAAGTAAGTCTAGGATAAATAGAACCAATGTATGTATTTTTAAGTCCAAAATGTTTTCAGGACCGACCCTGAGGATGGCCCTTCAATAGGCCAAAAGCGCTCGGTTGATATTTTTAATAAAGAAATTTTACACCTTTACACAAAATCTGCCTTTTCTTTCTTTGCAAATGTTAGTCAAAACAGGGCAACGCCAACCTATATTCCACCTCCAGTACAAACATATACAGCTATGCCTGATTTTGAATTCCAATTTGCAACATTTCCAGGTAGTGGGACATCTTTGAATTGTTAAAAGTTTGGAAGATTGGATCCAAGTCCAAAAGAAAAATACTTGAATCTTAGATTGAGGCGTTTCCAAACTGAGAAACGTAGTTTATTTTGCTCTGGCAAGTTTTAAGGAAAAATCCCAACTTTAGTATTTACCAATATGAATAAATTCGCTCAACTTTTGACAGCAGTTTCTCATTTTCCTTGAGAAATGGTGTACTTTACTTTTCCCTTGTCCTTTGTCCCCTGGCTCACAACTTTTCAAGTGTTGTACTATGGAAAATAACAAATCTTGAATACATTTCATATAATATATAACCATAAGGAAAAATATACCTACCTACTTATAGATAAAATTAAGTTCATTCATTCATGTATTTACGTATTTACCGTTTACGCAGCTAACCTTCCAATTTGTTTTTAGTAAAGATTAATTCTTTAAAAACAATTTCAAGTATCCCCTAACCCCAAATAAACACTTAACACATGATAAAAACTAGTATATATAAATGCTTTCCTAGCTCCATAAGATATAAACACTACAACAATGAAACTATTCATTATCACACTTTTGGCTACTGTAGCCACAATTCAGGCTTCGCCTTTAAATGCGAGCTGCACTGTTACCTCCTACTCCGGAGTAGCTGCAGCTCTACAAAGCTGCACCGCGTTGATACTGAAAGATATAACTGTCCCAGCTAAAACTACTCTGGCACTGAAATTGAAAAGTGGAGCTTCTTTGACGTTCGCTGGTACTATCCGTTTCGCTGTTGCTGCATGGGCAGGACCTCTGATTGAAATTAAAGGAGCCAAGGTTACGGTTAATGGTGCTGGAGCCACTTTGGATGGAGGCGGTAAGACAATTGGAACTAGATACAATTTAATAAATAAAAAATATTTTCAACTATTGAAGACATGAGTGGAAGTTACACTGAACTTTAACAATAATGATATGGTTTGAAAAATATCTGCGTTCCTCTGGATACTCTCACAATAGTTTTTTTTTCTTCTAGGTCCAAAATACTGGGATGGAAAGGGCGACAACGGAACCGTAAAACCCAAATTTCTCAGAATAAAAACCACTGGTGGATCGACTGTCAAAAACATCAAACTTTTGAATTGTCCCAAGCAATGTGTCTCGATCAACAGTGCAAGCGACACAGTCTTGGACAATTTCAACATTGATGTTTCTGCAGGAGACAAAGGCGTAAGTTCATTTTTTTCATTATATTATCAATCATCAATTCTTTTAACCGATTATTGATTACAGGCTTTGGGTCACAACACTGACGGTTTCGACGTATCCAGCTCTTCAGGCATCACGGTCCAAAACAGTATAGTCAAGAACCAAGACGATTGCGTGGCCGTTAATCAAGGAAGCAACTTCATTTTCCGCAACTTGACTTGCTCTGGTGGTCACGGATTGAGTTTGTCCGTCGGTCAAAGTTCAGCAAGCGGTACCCCCAACACCGTTAAAAATGTAGTGTTTTCTGACTGTACCGTAATGAATTCAGATAACGGTATCCACGTCAAGACCCACTCAGATGCCGGTACCGGTTCCGTTTCTGATATCACTTACAAAAATATCAAATTGTCTGGAATCAGAAAGTATGGCATCAACGTACAAGAGGACTACGAAAAAGGTCATTCCTCTGGAACAGCGAAAGGCAACATTCCAATAAGTAAATTAACCATGAACTCCATCACTGGTTCTATGACTGGCGCTAAGGGTATAAGTGTTTACGTACTTTGTGGAAGTGGAGGATGCAGTACCTGGTCTTGGTCTGGTGTTTCCATTAAAAATGGTAGCGGAAAGAAGAACTATTGTAACTTCCAACCCACTGGATTTCCTTGCTAGATGAATAAAAATGATAAAAAATATCATATGATTATTTTATTTACCTAATATTAAATTTATTTTATCTTTGCAATGCTGAGACTGAGTTGGTGTCCAACCTATAACCCTTATGATTTTCGTCACCAATGCCGTAAAACTAGTAATTCAAGTATAGATGGTTTCTGAAGTGTACAAGAAACCTTTTTTGATCTGAGAATTTAGCAGTTCCCAAACATAAGACGAATAAATAAATTTTCTGTATGGCGTTTCTTGTAAAAAAAGATGTTCAAATTTGGCACAGTCAGTTGTTTTCTAAGAGAATAAGGTTGATCAATCATTTCTGATTGGAATCCTGAAACTTCCCAAAACAGTTATTATTGTGTGTCTTCTTTCAATCAAACTGTACTGGATTCTGCCTGATGAAGTATCTCTGAAGTTGTTGGTGATAATTTCTTAATTATGAAAAATCCAAAACTTCTCAGTAACAGTGACTCCTTTTTGTCGCCTTTGTAGAGATTGTGGCCAGACTTTTGAGTCTTTAAGTTTAACTGTATATGTTTGTACTGGAGGTGGAATATAGGTTGGCGGTGTACTGTTTTTGACTAACATTTGCATAATTGTGGCATTCTGGTGCATCAAATTATTCATGGACATAATCAATACACTAAAAATAATAATTTGAAGTATTCTTTGGGCTTGATTGTGAGTTTGAAGTTGGCGATTCATTATCTGTTGCAGTAACTGTATTGATCCTGAAATTTTGTTGGTCTGATTCATCGTCACTATCCATATTTTTTTCATTAATTTGTGATGATAGCGTGCGAGTATGATAAAAGTTTTCAAATTCTGTTGCGTCAAAAATTTCCAAGACACTATTTCGTGGGTCCCATATGTCTTTCAAAAATATCAGCAGACCCACCCAAAATGTTATTTTTTTTTTAAAGAAACAAACCCACTAACCTCCTTTAACCCATGATTCCTATCCGGTATCTCTATGATTCGGTACTTCTGGGAATTATCCCACTTTTGAAAAAACTGTAGCTAATTCTTAACTTAAATGGTCTCGAAAAAAATTAATCAAACAGATCACGTCCACTCATTTTTCAATTTATCTCTCTTTCTTTAAAAATTTGAGGACAGTTTTCAAATCATTCAAAAAAACATAAGAAAGACAACCATTTTCCAGCAACCCTGATACTGCAACCCACTACACTATTAACAGCAACCCTCTAATAACTCCCAAATTTCCCGCTAGGGTGTTTCTGACAACCTCAATGCTGACAACACAAGAAATAGGGATCTATTACAAGTTGGGAAAAAATGATGTACTACAATATTCAATAAAATAATCAGATCATATTTATTCATCTAACAAGAAAATCCAGTAGGTTGGAAGTTACAACTGTTTTTCTTTCCGCTATCATTTTTAATGGAAACACCAGACCAAGACCAGGTACTGCATCCTCCACTTCCACAAAGTACGCAAACACTAATACCCTTAGCGCCAGTCATAGAACCAGTAATGGAGCTCATGGTCAATTTGCTGATTGGAATGTTGCCTTTCGGTGTTCCAGAGGAATGACCTTTTTCGTAGTCCTCTTGTATGTTGATGCCATACTTCCTGATGCCAGACAATTTGATATTTTTGTAAGTGACGGCGGACACAGAACCGGTACCAGCATCTGAGTGGGTCTTGACATGGATACCATTATCTGAGTTCATTACGGTACAGTCAGAAAACACTACATTTGTAACGGTGTTCGGGGAACCGCTTGCTGAACTTTGACCGACGGACAAACTCAATCCGTGACCACCAGAGCAAGTCAAGTTGCGGAAAATGAAGTTGCTTCCTTGATTAACGGCCACGCAATCGTCTTGGTTCTTGACTATACTGTTTTGGACCGTGATGCCTGAAGAGCTGGATACGTCGAAACCACTGTTGTGACCCAAAGCCTGTATCCAATAATCGGTTATAAGAATCGATGATTGATAATATGATAATGAAAATGAACTTACGCCTTTGTCTCCGGCAGAAACATCAATGTTGAAATTGTCCAAGACTGTGTCGCTTGCAGTGTTGATGGAGACACATTGCTTGGGACAATTCAAAAGTTTGATGTTTTTGAAAGTCGATCCACCAGTGGTTTTTATTCTGAAGAATTTGGGTTTTACAGTTCCATTGTCGCCCTTTCCATCCCAGTATTTTGGACCTAGAAACAAATAAAAACTATTTTGTGTATCCAGAGGAACGCAGATATTTTATCAACCATATCATTATTGTTAAAGTTCAGTGCAACTTCCACTCCTGTCTTCAATAGTTGAAAATATTTTTTATTTATTGAATATTATCTAGTATAATTATCTAGTTCTAATTGTCTTACCTTCTCCATCCAAAGTGGCTCCAGCACCATTAACTGTAACCTTTCTGCCTTTAATTTCAATCAGAGGTCCTGCCCATTTAGCAAAAGCGAAATGGATAGTACCACCGAACGTCAAAGAAGCTCCAGTTTTCAAATTCAGTGCCAGAGTAGTTTTAGCTGGGACAGTTATAACACACGGTTTTCATCGCCACGGTGAAACACGTCGTTCTAAAACGGAAGTGTGTAATAGAAAAACACGACGGTTTTCTACAGGGCCCCACAGACTACGATGAAACACGACGGTTTTCATCGCCACGAGGAAACACGTCGTTCCAAAACCGAAGTGTGTGGTAGAAAACCGTCGTGTTTCATCGTCGGTTTAAATTCAGTCCGAGCTTGATTTTTGGCACGACGGTTCAACATTTCGTACACACGAACGGTTTTCTACCACGCACACTTCGGTTTTGGAACGACGTGGCGATGAAAACCGTCGTGTTTCATCGTAGTCTATGGGGCCCTGTAGAAAACCGTCGTGTTTTTCTATTACACACTTCGGTTTTAGAACGACGTGTTTCACCGTGGCGGTGAAAGCCGTCGTGTTTCATCGTTGTGTATGGGGCCCTTAACATTTGCATAATTGTAGCGTTCTGCTGCATCAAATTGTTCATGGACATAATCAATGCATTTGTATCAATATTGGCAGTACCTATTCTTTGGGCTTGATTGTGAGTTTGAAGTTGGAGATGCATTATCTGTTGCAGTACCTGTATTGTTCCTGAAATCCTGTTGGTCTGATTCATCGTCACTATCCATATTCTTTTCATTTATTTGTGATAATGGCATTCGGGTATGATGAAAATTCTCAGTGTTTCTGCTGATATTTTGGGAAGACATATGGGACACCGACGAACGACACAACAATTTCGACGTAACAAAATTTGAGAATTTTCATTATACCCGAATGCTATCATCACAAATAAATGAAAAAAATATGGATAGTGACGATAAACCAGAAAAGGATTTCAGGAACAATACAGGTACTGCAACAGATAATGCATCTCCAACTTCAAACTCACATTCAAGCTCGAAGAATACTTCAAATATTAATGTAAATGCATGGATTATCTCCATGAACAATTTGATGCAGCAGAATGCCATATTATGCAAATGTTCGAGAAGGGGGTTTGGAAGTACACCAGAGAAGTTGAAGAAAAGGCAGATTTTGTGTAAAGGTGTAATATTCATCACACTACAAAAAATGTAGTATACAAGCTCAATTGTAATCACTGCAATTGCACTTACATTGGCAAAACTACCCGAGCCCTGAACACTAGAAACAAGGAACACATAAACAGACCAACTAAATCAGTCTTCGGACATCACTTACAATTCTCCAAACACAACTTCTCGCCAAATTCTAATAGCGAGATAGTCCATGAAATGAGAAATAGTAACGCCCGTAGAATAGATTTCTTGGAGGACTTGGTAATCAAGAGGGAGTCCGCAGGAAACCCAGACTGTCTGAATTTGAAGATCAATAACGACAAAAACCCTATATTCAAGCTCTTCACTTTAGAGTAATGAAATTTGGTGGCGTTTTGCACCGGCTTTTCTGGTTGGGACTCTGGAGTTGGGTATTCCCCGAACTGACACTTTAATTCCTTTGTGAACCTGTCATTTTGGCGAGTGCTTCGCCGCTGGGTTTTTACCTGGTTTGGTCGTGCGGGAAGCGACCATGCAAGACCGTTGGGGTGTTTTCTTCCCCATCACTCGGTGGTCTTACTCTTCAGCTGCACTTTTGTTTGTACTGTTGATTCTCGAGTGAGAGTCGAGAAAAAAGGGGAAGAGAAGGAATCATAAAATTTTTAAATTTATTTAATCAATTATTTCTCTAAGGGCCAAATTATGGACTGACTGGTAAACGTCTGGTTGTTACCTAGCAGGTACTTTCTATTCTTTAGTGCATAGAAAGTACCTGCTAGGTAACAACCAGACGTTTACCAGTCAGTCCATAATTTGGCCCTTAGGTGTATAAGTATGAAAATATTCTACTACAGCAAAAATCGATTAAAATAATTCCAATCAAACGACTACACATACTCTGTAAATTAAACCCCCCAAACCTCAAAACCTAGATTAAACAGATTCTGCCCGAAATATTTTAGGACACATTTAATTGCATTTCGCTGCCAATCCGACCATTTATTACCATAATTAAGGGGTCCGCGAAACAATAATAACGCACGGTGAAAATTGGCCATGCATGTACAGTAAATTAGGCATCCATCTCTTCAGCATTATTTTCAATAATATGCAGATTGTTAATTAAATCTGGCTCCATAGGCATATTTAGATGACAGCGATCTGTCTAAAACATTGGTCGGGGGGTGCGCCCGTTTTAATTATGTTGTGTACCCGTGCGTATTTTTGTTAATATAAAATAATATTCACTTCTCCTCTATAAGGGAATTTGTCAGTGACAATAGTTGAATCTTTCACTCTTTCAAAATCTTTTTCATAAGAGTCTTGAAAGGGCAATTTTATACGTAAATGACTGTTATTTAGAAGCTTGGCTGACAACTTTGCAACCCAAGAATATTATTTGAAGGTGGAGGTACCTCTTGGATATTGTAACCCTTTTGTAGCAGGGCTGGAAAGATATCGTCTTTTCCTGGATACGGCTCAAAGTTGTCTATCGCCCATTTTATTCTGTTTTGCCTGAATATTTCCACCTGTCAGCCTCTTTCGTTGAGGAGATTGGGCCTTTTGTTACGGGAGCCAAGCTGGTTCTGATAATTTTCCATGATTGAGTAAGTCTTCAGTGAAGACTTATTTTGTGGTCGTAACAATACTTTCCGTTGGGCTTTTTTAGAGAAACCAATGCCGTTCGAGTGGTTTTTTTTTTGACAGGACTTTTTGTAGAAGTTGTGCTGGGGCTAATTCATTTATCTCTTCGCAGAACTGTCTCTAGTCCAGGTTCTCCTTTTGGATATTCTCAAGGCTCTATTGTACTGTGTTCAGCTGTCCTGTAATTTTCCCAATATCCAGTAGTTTTACGTAGCATTTGCTTTTAGTCCGCTTAATTCCTGGTTCCATCAAGGGACCCCCCATAAGTACCTAAACAGAACTCGGTTGGAAAAATATTTCTTGATAATTCATCTATCAAGGAAATAACTCTCTTAAAAAATTGCGAAACATGATTTCTGGGTAGGTACTTTGAAGCCCTATTCAGTAAAGGGCAGGTCACTAGGTATAGGTATAGGATCCAACTTGACGAATTTACGACCGTCCGCAGCCATTTGAGAGGTCTTTATCTGTATCCGCATTAATCTGCGCATGCGCAGAATTGATACGGTGGTTTCATTTCATTTTGTTGTCCGCATCGTTGCGGGTCTAGCCTCGTATCCGAAAACGTATCTCAACCATGCGACACTATTGAGATATTCCTGTCGGTTGTCACTAAAATATCTTAAGGACCGGTTTCTCAATAGCAAAACACCCCAGTGGCGCACCCAGAGTGGGTGCTATCGGGTCAGGGCTCCGCCAGGTCGCCCCACCAAAAATTTATTTTTGCGTTTAAAAAATGTAGCAACATCAAGGCGTGGCCCACTCAATTTTTTTTTTTTTTTTTCAGTCACAAGCCACAACATATTTTCTGGGTGCGCCACTGAGTCACCCCCAGGATCAACATTGTAACTGAACACGTCTACCTTAGAGTTAAAACCAACCCGGAGGTGACTCGCTAGTGAGAAACCGACCCTTAACAACAAAAACATAGTAATTACAGATAAAAGAAAACCTTCAAACACAGCTACAAAATCAACACAAGTCTTTTTGCAGTTAGAAAACGTTTCATCCAAGGTTACAATTGTTTTCGTGGAACGTAATGTATGGCCATGCTTGAGAGAAGTTTCAGGAGGTCGGAGGTCAACGATACCCATTGTAGCAATTAAGCTACTTTGTCATTTTATATATATTTTAGGAGTTTTTAATTGAAATCGCCAGTATTGCTGTATATATTAATTATTGTACTGCATTTGAAGCAAGCAAGTATACTCAATCTCATTTAAATTTAGGTTTAAATTTCAATTAGGAGTCAACCTGATTTTTATGTAAGTACCTACTACTTCCATTCAGGTGGCACTATACCATCTCTATTTAATGATTTTCGCTCAGCTCTATATCCTTCCGAATAATACCAATCGTTCCGGTCGCTAACGCCACCTTTTTCGGCTGGTTTCATGCTGCAATTATTTGAATTGCGCACGGCCTTGCTTTAGGACGAGCCACTCTTTCTTGGCGGCTTGGTTAAGCGAGTCGACGTCAGTGACGTCAGCGAGCCCTTTTGTTTTTTGGCCAACGTGCTAAGTTTTCTTGAAAAGTCTCTTGAAGGGGTGAATCCTTGAAATTTCTTTCTCTGTGATGCGGAGTGCCATTTATGGCTAATTGAAGAATTAGTTTATTCGTCCACTCGGCCACTTTTTTTGTGATTTTATTGGAACATGCCAGGTATGTAACAAATCCTATTATATCTTGTACATCTCTTAAGTTTATAATTATTTCCCCAGCTTATCTTTATCTGCAACCACCTCAGGTGATGCCAGTGCCTGTATTTTGTACCAGATATGTTATAGAAGCCCCTTGTTCAGGGTGAGTCATGTACTTTTGTGTCTTATTATAAACTTAAAAAACATGTTTTTTGTCTGTTTCACATTTCTTTAAATAAAAAGATACCGTCAGTAATTTAGTTTTCTGATAGGGTCCTAACCCTACATCCAGGCTTAGTATTGGTCCAATTCAATAAAGACTGCATGCTTCCCTAAACTTCATGTGCCCCTACTTCTGAGGTCACTTTTATGGTCCATGATGAATAGTGCCTATCGTCCCTGATGACACCTCGACTTGGAAGTAGTGATCACAGGTTACTTTACGTTTACATTTTACCTTTTAAATAATATTTTTATTGAGCATAACCCAATTGAAATGTCTCATTTCCATGTTCAGTTTGCTGTCCGGCTGAGCATGTGAATTTTCAGAGCAGAAGACTCTCAACGAAATAGTTTTATATTTTTATTGAGCATTACCTAATAAATGGAATGTCTCATTTCTAGGGATGTAAGCCAATTTTTCTGACAATGTCATGTCACAGTCAAAATGAAAATGACGGTCATGTCATTTATTTTTATGACACTCTTGTCATTTATGTTTTTATGGATTAAATTTTGTGACTGTCAAAATGATTTGTCTGTTCGTCACAAACCAGTCCTGAGGTTATTCTAACGTGCAGTTGGACACAAAATGTGCAGTAGGAAAAGTAGATTGTGTTATTTTTTCATTTATTACGAACAAATAATTTAGTCGACATAATATGCTACATACAGTGCGACCGTAAAGTAAGGAATAAATTCAATAATTATTCTTCTAAGTAATTTTTTTGAAAATTCTCGAACACTTCAATTTTATTTTTTGTCGAGCATTTTTCAGAAAATAAAATTATTATACATGGTGGTCGCAGAAAAGCTGTACAGGTAGTAACTTCATTTTTTTAAATAGACACCCCTAATTTTTTTTACATTTCCGGATTTCTGATGAAATTCTAAGTATTTTTCGTGAAAGATGTCCTATACCTAAAGTCACCTGTTTCGGAAATATTGACAGTCGACAATTGACTTTTTTGCAACTTTGAGAGGCTGTGAAACCATAAACGGAATAACGTTCAGGAAAATAATGAGGAGCAAGAAGCAAAAGAAATTAGGACATCAGGTAACATGGCTTCAACAAGATTGGTGTCCAGCCGATAATACAGGTTTTAC